AATCTGGAACGCAACTAATAACAATAATTCGAAAGCGGAAATAAAAAACACTTCCACTTTGCGTACCTTCTTTTGATGAATTTCACGCAAAGGCCGCCAATGCAGAGATCCATTCGCCCCTCTTCACCGGCAACACAGAAAAGAGAATTCTACTTAGTAAGGGTTATAGTCCCTAAGCGCGGCCGAAGTCCGCCACCCAAAAAAGGAGTTGGACGCAGGTGTCGTCCGGGAACAGCTTCCTATAAATTCCTGCAGATCGTGAAGTGCCTGGAACATTATTGGCGTCGCTTGATACCCCTCTTGACTTTTTTTGGATGAATTTTGGGCAGGTTCCGCTTAAGTGCACTTTTACCCACGTTGGTATTTAAGTTCTATATTTACAATGGCCCGTAGTCATAGTCAAAATAAAGTCGACTTTAAAGTTAGTTGCAGCTTTTTTGACAGATATCCCATTGAAAATTATGTCAAAAAGCTGCAACTAACTTTAAAGTCGACTTTATTTTGACTATGACTACGGGCCAATATATTTATATATTTACAGAAAATACGGAGGAGAAGTTAATAGAGGCGGTCAGGGCACACAGCTGCCTTAACGATAAAAGCTCCCAACTTTTCCGCAATAAATTATTAAAAGAAAAGGCTTGGGATGCCGTTGCATGCGCTGTGGGAGTACCTGGTATGTAATTGTATATATGTATATGTATATTAATATATAAAAAAATTACCTTATTTAATTCTTCCAATAGTGACTAACTGCCAAAACCCTCCACAAGAAAAATTCTCAAAAATCAACGGTAATTTTTTGCGACTTGAAACTTGCACTTTATTATACTAAAATTGAATGAGCTACAAAACTTTGTACAAGCTTTGAAACTTTTATTTATGTGGTATCTGATATAGATCGACCCTTATTTTAAATGAAAATTATAAACAAAAAATAAATAAAGATAAGTTGCCAAAAGCATCATTTTGAATTTTGCTGCTATTATTTTGAACCCACTATATATACAAACAGCCAGCATCAAAAAATATGAATACCCTCACGTTTCTTTATATATATATTCCATACCAAACAGCAAAAACGAGCAGAATAAATTTTATCAATTTCATATAGAACTCGGGGAAAATTCTAGACATACCAAAAAATAAGAAAATCGTCAAAACGTCTGGGTATTCATATTTTTGACGCTGACTATATGTTTCTTCTATGTATGTGGTAAAGTACTCACTTTCGATTAGATTGCGAGGGTATTATAGGCACCTTGGCAATCGAACTCAGCGAATTATAGGTTTCATAATTAAATCATAATTTTCTGTAATTAGCTTTTATCGGCGTTGAAGCAAGTGCGGTTTGCGTAATTGTTTTCACACCTGGTACATATTCTTCAATGTTAATATTCTCATCCAAACGTTCATAGCTGAGACGTAGCGTTTGTGTGTAAAGTACTTTAAGCTGCAGAGACTGACAAAAGTGATGCAAACAGTTATATACCTCGCTTAGTGCCTTTGGATTTTCGACTAAGCGTGCCTGTATGAGCTGGTGAATATAATTAACTTGAAGTTGATGCACCAATGCCTTGCCATCTAAAAAACATTCGTGAAAAGAGCAAAATAAAATAATAGATTCAGTGATGTATTATAATGAGTCCACAGAAGACTTATGTACTTACCGCCAGTTTCATGTGAAATACGTGCCAACCTATCCGCAGTTTCTAAGGATAGCATATTTTGATTGTCCAGGAAGCTCATGATATTTTATAAAAGAGTATAATTAATCATTGAGTTTTAGCGTCGTAGAAAAAGTGCGCAAAATAATTGTAAAAGGAAGCAATATACAGCTTAATATTTACATATTTTTACATACCGCAATGACTAATACTTCTATTGTATGCAACTACATGTTATGTGAGTGACTTCATTGAATAGCTGTGTATTTAATTAATAGGATGCGCGGCTACATAATCTTTCAATTGATCTCTCAACATGAAAGCACTTCTTGTAGCGTTGTTTGACATTAATCGACCAGTTCCTCGTAGGGTTGTTGAGATTTCTTGGCGCCATAATCCATTTAATACATTGTCTCCTTCATATCGATCAACATATTCAGGTGGGCAATAACTGCCATCGTTTAGCTTTAAAAAATTATGTAGCAGCACTGTTGCTTTCACGATGCTCTCCGCGCTTGGTGGTTGCATTTGCAATGGGGATAGCAAAATCCTCCATCGTGCTGTCATAATTCCGAAGGTGTTTTCAATAACACGCCGAGCTCTTGAAAGGCGGTAATTAAAATTTTCACGATCGGGTGGCAGATGCAATCCTGAAATTAAAAAAGGCTTATTTGTATGTACATACATATGCACATAGTATAGATGCAAATAATGGTTGAGTTGCAAGTTATATCAATGCAA